TCAGAAGGTGGGCGACTGTGACCAGTGATAGTCATGTATATAGAGATTAGAAATGCATGTGAAAATGTCTTAATGTCAATTGCCTTGGAATGAATTCTTCTGTAAGAAACAAACAAACAAAAAAAACAAGTATCTTCCTGAAGTCCCTCAAATTAAGGTAAAGAATAAGAACAAATCATTCTGGAAGAACGCAAAGGAAAATAGCTTTAGATACTTAAGTGACAATTGAATTTATTCTCATAATGGTTTTAATAGCTTTTGTATAATCTTCATCGCTATTATGAGATATGAAGTGTATGTATCACATCTGTAATCATTATGCCAAAAAATCTGAATTACTGTAATATTTTGTATATTGTTAAAACTGTAACTTTAATTGTAAAAAAAAAATTTAAATTAAAAAAAATTAGCACAAGGAAGTATATAAATGTCCCCTTGACAGGTGGTGCATAAGATGAAGAGACTAGGACACATGTGCGAGACTATGTAGGTGGAACATTTGAAGAACTGAAAAAATCAAAGTCATACCAACGAGCAAATATATGACTAAGAAATATCACTAACAACTGAAGAGATTGTGCCTTAGGGACAAAAATCAGTTCATGGAATGAAGTAAAAAATCCTAGCTATCACACAGAGCTGTGGCCCTTCAAAATGACCACGTAAAGAGGTACTCAGTATATTTTGTATTAAAACGTCATTGCCAGGGGCTAGATGGATGGCTCAGTGGGTAAAAGCACTGACTGCTTTTGCAGCACCCACATGGTGACTCACACGCAACAATCCATAACTCCAGTTCCAGGGGACCCGACACTCTTCTAGCCTCCCTGGGCATGACACATGTGCACTTACATGCATAGAGGCAAAACACTCATGTACATAAAGTTAACATAAATAAAGTTAACAATATCTTTGGCAGTTTATAAAAATATCTTGAAAAGTTCTTTGGGGGTTAGTGATAATGGGTAAAAAGATTGAGACATAATCGGAGGAATAATTTTGTCTTGATCTTATATATACAGTGCTCTTATAAACATGCTTATTGTTTCAAACTCTCACTTTGTGAATGGAAAAACTGAGGCCCATTACTTTGCACTATGTACTTTTCTCTCTGGACATCTGGGTCTCCTCTTTTTGAAGACTGAGACTACATGATGTTTAATGATTCCTCCAGCTGGGGTTGTGAATGAAAAGTAACCTACAAAAATCAAGATATAGAAATTAATTTCCAAAAGGGCTAGTTAGATGAAGCTGAAGACATAAGGCAATTATCTCATAAAAGAAAACAGAAAATAATGAATTTTCATGCACATATTTAGAATTTCCTAAAATTATTTTGGATTTGTTTGAAAGTATTTCTGTACAATAGCTTACAGAAAAGAAACCACAGAGTTCCTTCATTGCATAAAAACTGAAGAATGTTTATTGCAAAGAGTCATTTGCAATAAGAGACACTTCAGGACCTGCAACTAATCATTTTATAGTCATATTTAATACTTTTCCAGAGACAGCTGATCTGCCATTTAGAGAACTGAAGCTTTCACAATTGCATACAAAATATTTTGATAAAAGGTATAGGGGAAGATTAAAACAGCAAAACCTGAAATATATTGGTTCTTTTACAGAAAATGGCATATTAGCAGAATTCTTACATCTAGCTATCAAAAATTCAAAATGTTAAATCCTGTTATAAAATACTCACTATAAAAGTGTCATCTGTAATATTCATTCCACATAAAAAAGAAATCAGTATATCTAAGTCAGTTTAATTGTGACCATTAGTGGGGCTAAAACCCTTTGCAATAAAATTTTACTAAACTAAAAATACTTAGCAGTGCTATATTTTTGGCTTTTGACACACTATTTCAGCCCCTCATTTTTGATGCATGCGATTATTGTCAACAGTCATGCTACAACTTCTTATTTTTCATGAAAATAATATCAATCTTTGACTTTCCTCCTTGGGATAGAGTTGATGTACTCATGAAGCGATCTAAAGCAAGAAACTAAGTTTAGTTTCCAACCCTGACTAAATAACATGTCAATGGCTGACTGGTTCAGTATATTTAGTGATCAGAAATGAGGAAAGGCATTCATTTAGATTCTTCTTGACCCAAATGCAGTGATAACATCAACAATAATGCCTTGGCTGCATTTTCTTTTTTCTCAGTCAGTTGTACTGTCATGGCAACAGGTCTTTAAAATACTTCCTTAGTTATTAATACCAATTCATACATTTTTCTTTATTTTTATCCATGTTTCTCAACTTGAGCATCTGGAGGTGGTAGTTCTCCGTTGCAGAGACTGTCCTGTGTATTTTAGGATGCTTAGCATATCCCTGGTCTCTGCCTACTAGGTACTTCCTTTCCCCAATAGAAACTGCCAAAAGTGTTTCTAGATCTTACCAAACATTCCTTATGGTGTAGGGAAAAAATTACTCCAAGTTGTGAATGATTTCTTTATATAAATAAGAAAAGAGAGTATAATGCTGATGTCATTTTCCTGTTACAGTTTGAGAAATTTGGCAAAGCTGTGAATTATGCTGATGCAGCCCTTTCTTTCACTGAGTGTGGCAATGCCATGGAACGTGATCCTCTGGAAGCGAAGTCCCCATACACCATGTATTCTGAGACTGTGGAGCTCCTCAGGTGAAAAGCTTTTCATGTGCCACATTCCTAAGCTCATTTCATACAGAATTAGAAATTCTTAATGTTATTGCTCTTAAATATTGTTTCCACATATTAATGTGTCCATGGCATTTTCTTAGAAGTCATTATAATTAGTTCCTGCTATTTTATTAATACCATAGAATATTTATAAATGATGGACACTGTTTTATAAATTATCCCCTTAAGAGGTTATAATGTGAGTCTTATAATTTGCAATATTCATAAAATTAAAATTAAAATGTAGCAGGGGAAGTAAAGTATAATTTTTTCATTTGACTTCTCTTTTCAAAGGTAATTTTATAATTCAAAATAAACTTATGCTCTCCAGATTTCTATTACAATTCATGTTTTCTAAGACTTTCTATCTTCGTTATTAAAAAAGGAAGGAGGGGGCTGTCAAGATTGCCCAGTGGGTAAATGTTACTGCCGCCAAGCCTGACTTACCAGACTTAAAGCCCAGGGACCTACAGGGGGAAGGAGAGAAGTGACTCCTGAAAGTTGTCTTTTGACATCTCCACTCACATTACGACATGCACATATGTGTGCACGCAGCACACACAAACGCACATATACACACACATGCACATGTACACACAGTCAATAAATTAATAAAGGCTCCAGATGTTTTGCAGAATTTTCATGCATCTGGAATACAAAAATCAGATAAGATGATGGCTGAAGGATGACAATAGAGGAAGAGAATATAAGATAAAATAGTAAAAGTAACTACATGTATTATTGCATTCATTTACATTTGAAATCAATAATTCTGATGTATCGGTCTTGGGGGAGTACAAATTGTTGACTATCAAAACATTCCTAAACAAAGAGGAAAAGGAGGCAGGAGAAGAATAAATATCTACTCTAGTTTTTTCCACTTATTTGAAAATATTATAAAAGTAATATGTCCCCAAATAATCCATATGCACCACAGTTCACTTTTTTTTTTTTGATGATGATAAGGAGGATGATACCTTCACTTGTTCTTGCTAGGTAAGAGCCCTACCACTGATCTGTATTCATAACCCCTAAATGATTGCTTTTTACTGGGTGAACAGTTCTTTATCGGAGAAGCCCTCATGTCCCATCTTCTCGAGCTCCATTGCTTAGCAATGTCAGGCTTCCTTTTTTATTATCATCTACATAAACTGTTACATATGTCAGGATCTTTATCCCTAAGACTTTAGACAAATAGTGAATATATTTACCTTGACTATTTCCCAAAGAATATGTTCCAAAAGAGCAAAAGAAGAGAATATTAAACAAATCACAGAATCAGCAATTTTGAAGTTTTTTTGTAACTGTACAAGATAATGGATTTCATTATATTTTCATGCACATATACTATTGTACGTTGTTTGTATTTGTCCTCCATCACACTGCCATGTCTGCCTTCCCCATCTTGCTGGTTCCTTTCATCTTCTCAAATATTGTCTTCTGCTTTCATGTTTTACAACAGGAAATAATATAGAAAGATATAAATATGAAACTGGATGCGGTGGCGCATGCCTTTAATCCCAACACTTGGGAGGCAGAGGCAGATGGATTTCTGTGATTTCGAGGCCAGCCTGGTCTACATAGCGAGTTCCAGACCAGGCCAGCTGGGGTTGCAGGGAGGCCCTGTCTCAAAATGACAAAAAAAAAACTCCATTTCATTTTAAAAAATACTGTTTCTTATAGACTCATTGTTTTTGCTAATAAGACTAAGATGTAGGAACAGATGTATTTCTTTTTCCCCGTCAGCTTCTGTTGTTTCCATTCCCTCTCCCTTTAGACAACTTTCTCCACATAGTCATACATATATGCATAAATATTAGTATCAGAAGTTTTACCTAGAGTTGTAGGCAGTGGGAGATTCAAGGAAAGCTATCGCCTTGCCTACATAGCCAGTCTACCATGTTTTTCTTGGAACTGTTTCAAGTCTAAGCACCAGAGAAAAATAGAAAATATTTCTCCTCAGCTTGTTTTATACACTGTGGAACCTGCCACTACCACTACCTTCTGGTAGTTTTCAAGGGCGAATTGATTTCTTAGTGTCTAGTCAAGGATACATGCAATTTTCAAAGTTATACAAGATGAGTATTCTGGAAAAAAATATAATGATTCAAACTTGAGGGGACAAGTGAAGGAAGATCGAACAAAAAATTTGTGTTCCTCTAGTCATTCAAACATGCAAATGTAAACAAGGTATGCTAAATTAACAAGAAAATAGTAAAATGTTAATACCTAGCTTTAACAGAAAAAAGGAGAAAAGAAAACCGTATTGTAGGCCGTTCCCGCATGGCTGATGAGGGTCAAAATTTGAGAGCAATTTGGTATTACAGAAAAAAGCCATGCAAACAAGCATTTACATCTTTGGACACAACACTTCAGCTTGTGGAAATTTGAATTTCTTGTATGGAAAACACTTAGCGGTATAAGAACATGTGCATATGGACATATATGTACACATATATGAAATGACACTGGTTTACAAAAAAACTATTCATTAATACTTTTTAAATTTTATGTGTATGAGTATATTGTTTACATGTGTTTAATTGTGCCTCTGTCATGCAATACCTGCAGAGATCAGAAGGCGTTGGATCCCCTGGAACTGAGATAAAACTGTTGTTAGCCTCCATGTAGGTGCTGAGAATCAAACCCAGGTCCTCTGCAAGAGCTGAGAGATAGCTCAGCTATTAAGAATGCATACTGCTCTTGCAGAACGCCCAGGTTTAGTTCTCAACAACCATTTGGCAGATCATAACTGCCTGTAACTCCAGTTACAGGGGATTTGATATCCTCTTCTGGCCCCCAGAGGCTCCTGCACAGAAGTGGTACACATAAATTTACACAGGCATGCACACATACACATAAAGATGATAAATAAAAAATAAGCAAGTCTTTTAAAAGTACACAAGCAAAATACCAAATTTTATTTGGTGGTAAAATATGACATGAGATAGTCATTAATTAATATTTATTTCCTTTCAAAAACTTTGTTTTAATTATTTAGAAAAATTCTTCTTAACTCATATTTCTTCATTATATGATATATTTGTGCTTACAAAAATATATTTCAATGGAACCTGATAAAAGTCAATGGATAATCCATTAGCATTGTGTTTAAACTCAATATTTTATTCTTTATTTTAAGATAAGTATAGATTCATATGCACCTGTAGGAAGTAATACAAAGAATTTCTGTGTACCCTTCACCTAGTTTCCTTAGTGGAAACATCTTCCATAGCTAAGTATAGTATTACAACCAGGACATTGGCATTGACAGAATCCATGGACTTCATTCAGATTTCACCAAAGTTGTTACCTTTTTAGATTTTCCCAGTTTTACATGCACTCACTTGGGTGTCCTCTCTATATGTAATATATATATATATATTTCTGTGATTTGCATGTGTCCCTATTTTTTAATGAGAGGAATTTCAATCGGGAGTAAAATGAATTTAAGCCAACTAGGTCTTAAGACCCATTTCAGCAACTGAAAGTCCACTATCAAGTCACCGCATGTGTGGTAGCAGTTAAAGGATGACAGCAATATGAATATAGCTTTTAGTAGTGAAATACCATGGTGAAGGATTTTTTTATTACTCTCTTCCCAATAGCATGCAGTCAGTAGAGGGAGCACCCCAGTTGCTTCATTCAAATAATTATACTTTCTCTGAGTCATGAGAATCTGCAAGAAAACACCACAATGCCTTTGACATTTCGTTCAACCAGCTATCAAAGAAAGTTAGGTATATTACATAATACAAATCCCTCTTCTTGATACTGCAGCAACAGAAGGTATATAAGTCCCACTGCTAAAAAATGTTCACTGAATAGAATTTGAAAAGTTGCCAGGAAAGCAGGCCAGCTAGAATGCTAAGGAGACACAAAGTCTTGAGGGGGATGAGCCTGGGCTCCTGGTGCTCTTGGGAAGCTTTTCTGAGTGGCAAGAGTGATGGCACTGTAGTCTCCCCATTGCCTACACATGCTCTTCAATTTTTCTTCTGCCACAATGAACTCAATTACTTATTCTACCATAAATACCTGTGAAATTGCATTAAAGCTCACACAATGATTTTATGCAATGAATTGATTTTTGAAGACTCTAAATGCCCAGAATGAGATGTGGTCAGCTAGTAGGGAAAAAGAAATGAGAACTCTTGAAATTTTATCACCCCAGTTTCAAACAATAACAGCTAAAGACAATGGCAAGACAAAATATACAAGCCCTATAAATGAATGTTGCTTAGACCTTAAAATACTGCGAAATCAACTGTCCTTTAACACACACACACACACACACACACACACACACACTCCCTATCCATCTTTCTCTTTCTTCCTTCTTTCTTTTTCTTTCTACCATTTATCTATCTATCATCTATCTATCTATCTATCTATCTATCTATCTATCTATCTATCTATCTATCTATCTGGCTGGCTGTCTATCTACCAATGTATTCAAAATCTAAGCCATTAGAAAAGATCTTTTAATTGATTGAAGCCTCTCTAACCCATGTCAGATATAGTTGTTTTTATTACTTCATCCGTGAACTGAGACACATTTTTGCCCACCTTGTATGAAAAAAATAATAATGGTGTTTGACAAGCATGGTCGTAAAAACAATATTTTGCCACCATTTATATATAGGTAGAGACTCACATGAATTCCACAGCCTTATTCCAGAATATGAGCTCAGAATTAAACTTAGTTCTGCAGAGCTAAGTTATATATGTTACATCAGATTCAATTGTGCTGCGTGGACTGTGCTTCTGTATATGTTCTTAGAAAATAATCTGTTGGGGGTTGGAGAGGTGGCTCAGCTGTTAAAGGCACTGGCTGCTGTTACAGAAGACCAAGGTTCAGTTCCCAGAAACACACACAGTGGCTACAACCACTTGTAACTCCAGTTCCAGGGGATCTAACACCCTCTTTTGGACTTTGTGGGCATTGCATGCACATAGTATGCTTGCATATGTGCAGGCAAAACACTCATACACATAAAATAAAAATAATTAATTAAAAATTGCTTAAAGAGAAAAGGGTTAGTTTGGCATCTGCCTTGAGCAAAGGGGAGGGTAACTCATTCAGACAACCGAAATGTGGTCTATGTTGGGAATTTTGAAGGAAAATCCAGATTCCACCTGGGTATTTCTTTTCTCTTTAAAGGTATGCAATGAGGCTGAAGAACTTTGCAAGCCCTTTGGCTTCTGATGGTGACAAAAAGCTGGCAGTATTATGGTGAGTTCCATAGAGTCCACAGGAAAACGGATGAATTGCTGCACTGATGTGTGAACATTCTACATCATATTAAGCTGCCTATCCCAGATCAGTATTCTGGTTTTCTAATAAACTGTCAAGGGCTAGCTAATGGATTTCTTCAGTAACCGACTCAACATCTACTCCCTCAATTTATACCCTTATCAAAATGAGATTTTAATCATTTCATCTTCATTTTTAAAACTGTATTTACATACTTCCCAATATAAGATTAAGCAAGTAACTGCAAAATATGAACATGTATATTTAATAGTGTATGGTCTTCATTAGGTGCTATCATTAACATAACCCTTTTCCCATCACCACAGCTACCGGTGCTTATCGCTTCTTTACTTGAGGATGTTTAAGCTGAAGAAGGACCATGCTATGAAGTACTCTAGATCACTGATGGAATATTTTAAGGTAATCCTTGTCTTGTATAATTTATAGAGATAGACTGATCCTTAATGAACATGTCGGACATGTTGTCAACTGTCAAATGACAATACTGCCAAAGTTATCACCTCTCTCATGCCAGCTGGCTATGGCCTTCCTATCCCTCCTTTGCGGATGGGCAGAAAGCTTCCACGTGATTTGATTCCAGAATGAGAAGCTGCACTAAGGCAGTAGTCTATTTTTGAGATTAACCAAATGGCCTTTGGCAGGTTCCTGGTTTCTGCTGGGAGAAATGTATCTACCCGCTGGCAAGGTGGTCACAACTTATATCTGTTGCTATAAGTTATATCTGTGACTAGCCTCTTGTTGGAAAATGAAACCAATGAAGAAATCCATTAGCAGTGGCAGAAATCTTAATGGTCACCTTGACATTGGGTTGACATATACCTACATTCCTAAAAGAATTATGGTCATGGGGTATCTTGGAGTGCAAGGGTTGTAATTTAAGACATTTGATTGCCTTGATTACAAAAACAAACAAATCGGCAGACAGACTAATCCATCCTTTAGGGAGCTGAGATTTTTGACTTGCAAAGAAAAGAAAAAAAAAAAAAGGAAGGCCACTATAAAATGCAGTGCCAAAATTTGGGACTGATAAAAATTCAAAGATTCGGGGCTGGAGAGAGGACTCAGCAGTTAAGAACACTGGTTGTTCTTTCAGAAGACCCAGGTTCGAATCCCAGCACCCACATGGCAGCTAACAACTGTCAGTAACTCCAGTTCCAGGGCATCCGACAGCCTCTTCTGTCCTCCGTGTGCACTTACCTACATGCAGGCAATACACACATATACATAAAATAAAAATAATAAATATATTTTTTTTAAATTCAAAGATTGAAGCAGTTGCCTGGTACTAGACTTGGCTATCTTATGCTCAAATATGGCCACTGCTTACCAATCCTGGCCATAATTTAAAGTTGAGGAGATTCAATGTTTCTTTCTCTTGCTTTGACCTCAAAAGAAAATGACTTTTCAGTCAGGTGCATGATACCACATAGGTAAACTGCACCAATCAGTCATTTGAAATGAACCAAATCATCAGCTAATATCAAATATCCACTGAGTAGCAATGTATTGCTATGTGAGCACACTGAGACTCTGCTGGGGAAATGAGCAAGTCCCCACTTACTGTGTTTGATGGGTTGTATAGACATAATGGCCTAAAGGTTGTCCTCATGTTGGTAAGAAGGGATCACACACAGTTCTCCATTCTTTCATATGTGCAACCTCTCCTTGTGTGCCGTAGAAAGGTGGATGTTGAGTTCACTGGGCTTCTGAATTCACTTGATGGTCCATAGAGTTAGAGTGTTGGTTCCCATCCCCCACGTATGTGATCCACAATCGGCCCTGAGAACGTGCATTTCTCACGGTTCCCTGTGGGTCTCTTGCTGCCGGTCTTGAAGTCCCACTGATAGCCACTGTTCTAATATTTGTCCTCTCCAGGCTTAGAGGGAATTAAGAATAGCAAAGCAGGTGGCAAATAAACCATTAACCTGTGAATGCACTGTTTGTTTAAGGTTAAACCTTGAGTCTTCAGAATGCATGCTACGCCCATGTTTCCATGACTCCAGAGCAGCATTGAATTTTTACTGGGCTCCTGAAAATTCTCTCTCTCTCTCTCTCTCTCTCTCTCTCTCTCTCTCCCTCATCTCTGATGGAGGCCAAGAGGCAGTAGAAGACCATAACTGCACCATAACTGCTTGTTTCTGGCATCCTCCTGGAATGCCGGACTTTACAGTTAAACCTGTATCCCAGGGAAAAAGTTTTCAACTGGTAAAGGTGAAAAGCTTACTTCTACTCTGAAGAGCTTGTTTTTCAGAATAAATTTCAGATGAGGATAATTAAACCATTTCTTGGAGAACCGAGTCTGATTTTACTGGGCCTTTTAGTATATGAGATCTTTCATCAAGTGACTTTCATGGTCCTGATTGGAGCCCACTAATTATCCTAACCAGCTATTTTCATCGAGTGTGCATCGTGATGCTGACGTGCACATGCATCCAAGCTCTGCATTTCAAAATGCTGCAATCAATATTAATGTACTCTAAATCACACTTACATCTGTTTCTGAATTAATAAAACACAAAATAGATGTCCTTATTTCCCTCTTTCTTTTTCTTTTAGCAAAACGCTTCAAAAGTTGCTCAGATACCATCTCCATGGGTAGGCAATGGAAAGTAAGTATTCTGCAAAAATTATTTTTTCATAAAAATGAGTGATTGGATAGATCCCGAATATTTTTCATTGACCACTCAAGAGTGAAGGACAATTTCAAGACTGTAGTCATTTCTGTACACACAGAATTTTAGCCAGGTTTCAGCTGATAGCAAAACACAAAGTTTAAAATGGTGTGCTTCCACATTCTGTCACTATTTGATTTTTAAGCCAAATTGTGGCCATAAAAATATCAGCGAAGGAGGTGACAAGCATCATGCCATTTCAGGGAGGCAGGATAAAACTAAATCTACTGCAGTGATTTGTCAGTGGTTCACTCTGTAATGAAAAACCAATGAAATATTCATTGATATATGGTAAGTGCTGTTTAATAAGACCAAAGGCATAATAGACCTGAAAATGTGAAGGCACTTAGTCAGCCAATTAGCTGAACCTTCATAGTATATTAATACTAAAATACTCTGACCTAAAATATGAAAGGATGCACTTTCATACTGATGTAAAGCCTCATGAACTCACCCAGGTCTGCAGCCTTATTTAGAGTCCTGCCTACTGGGGGTCCCTTCTATACTGCACAGCACTACAGTGGGAATCAGGAGGAAACTGTTGCCCCGGACTTGAGGCTGCCCTTGTCTGACTGGTTAAGCTAACTGGACTCCTTTTTTCAAGATTCGTCCTTCTCCCTCTGAAATAAAAAGAGCCAGGCATTATGCTCTCCTAGACCCACCAAGAACATGGTTCTTATAGAGCAAAGTTGTGAATCCCACTCTGTCTCCACCATATGCCTTTGCTAAATTGCCTAACCAATCATGCCACCTCTGATTCTAAAAGTGCCCTCCCTCTTCCAAGTCTGCTTCCTACTAGCCATAGGAAAAGAAATTAGATTTCTATCAACAATACAGGTTCACAAAGAGCTTATTATAAGTTCATTTTCAATTGTTCATCATCTCTAAATTCTTATATTTCTGACCAAAATAACTTCCTCAAGAGCAAAATATCCTCTCATGACACTTCATAAATATCTACAAAGCATACTCACAAAGTAGTGGGCCAGTGAACTCCACTTTCACATCGTAAAAACATTCAGAGCTAGGTAACAGATCCATTAAAAACTACACATTAGTTCAATTACTGCATTGAAAGGAAACACCATTTCAATTGTTGAAGTAGGTCTTGCTCTTATATTGATGAACAAAGGGGAAAGAACTCTCTGGAAGTTCAGAAAAAAAAAATAACCGTTGAGGGGCTCAGAGAAAGCTATTTTCTCTGAGCACAGAATGAAGCAAGGGCAAGGTCAGGTAAGCAGCTAGTAAAGAATCACTGGAATTTTTAAAATTCTGAAATGGAAGAACTCAAAACACATTCTAAGCTTGTGAAGTCACATTAAAAAAAACTCATGGAATGGTTTTGAAGCAGCTTCTGTTCGAAGAAAGTGTACTCCCTTTGGTAAACTATCATTGCTTTTGAATGAGGCAACTCCAAATATTCATACAAGGATTAAATCACATTTATTCAGCAAATACTTCAAATCCATCTGTCCCACATCTGGTCCTGTATAAGGGTAGGAGTGTCACAGAGATGAATTACATGTGGTCTTGTATCACAGAAGAACATAGTTCAGTGGAGAGAGGTAGCAGGTATGAACAAAAGTACTATGAAAAGCCAGGAAGAAGAGTTTGGACCTTGGGGCTTGGCCAGACAGGAATTCTTATCTCCAGTCAAGATTAGATACCCTGACTTCCAAATGAATGAGGGTACTGTGATCCTTCAAGAACTTCTCATAGCACCTTCCAGAAACACCTCTGATTTTAAAGCCTCCTCATCAGGCTAGTGATTGGGAATTCAACTGCCCAGAGGTGGTGCTGGCATAGATAAGAGTTTCATGGGAAGCTATGTGTAGGAATGAATAGAAGGTTCAGGATAGACCTTTGGGGACTATCTTGCATGCCGACCAGGAGAGAATGTCTCCAGTTGGAAGAAAGGGAAGAAAAATACTTGGTTATCAGAAAAGGATCAGCAGCATTTTTCTGTGAGGGAATAGATAGTAGTGACTCACAGGGATAAGCAAGTTTATAAGGCAGAAAAAATGAGGAGAGAAAGTAAATTTCCACAATGAATTTTCCTGATGAAATTAAAAATGCATTAACAATTAAGTATCCTTTTGGAAACAAGTGTACCAAGAAGTAGAATGCAATTCTTTTTTTAAAAAAATAACATTTTGCTTAATTGGCATTCAAATTTAGTGTTCCTCTTCATTAATCTAATTCCAATTCTTTGTCTTTTTCAACTGTCCACAGTAATAGGAGATGGCCCAGATTTGCAGCATTCTAGAAGCCATGATATAGAGGGGTTAAAAGGGCTGGACAACCATCTCAAATGTAATAGAGTGATAATAAAGAAGGATAAGATAACAACTGGTATTTGCAAAAATCCCATTTGAAGGTTTTTAAAGTACTGTTTCAGTAGACGTGTGTGGGGAATACCATGCTGAAGGAATTAAAGGCAGGCTTGTGTAGTTACTTGAATCATTGGTCATCCCAGTGATGAAAGGACTCTGTTAGTCATCGGATGGGTCATTCAGATGACTAAAAACTATTCCCTGAGCTTATAAAAGGCAACACTGGCATGAATATACATGAAATACCTATGAATCTGGGGAAAATACGGGAAATAAACTAACATGGACACTATGATGATGATGGAAGTGGGCACCTATCATGAAATCTTCAGTCAAGTATTTAGCAATACATGCTTGGAGGTAACATGGCAGAATGGAAATAGAAAGGACTTTGGCAGAAAGGATCTGCTGTCAAATCTGGCTGCTTGGATAATTTGTAGCATGACTGTCCATCTGGAAGGAGCTGAGCTTCTTTGAAGTCTTGGGATGCAGACTCAGCTCCTTATGCTTATAGAGTGAACACTTTATCCAGTGAATAGTCTCCTCAGCCCCCTTATGTATTCTTTTTAAATGGTGGGTCATTCATTATTTCATTTACCAAGTTCCTATACTGTATAAAGGAATACTCTGCCAGTGCCTTTACAAACAAATCCCAATTCTTGTGCTTCATATATTGTTCTTTTTCTATTTTTCATGGCATTTTTATGTAGTGTATACTAAATAAAGGAACAGATGCAATTCTTTCATTTTTTTCAGTTGGTATTCTTTGAACACATGTTACGTGCCAGGTAGTGTTCTAGATGCTGCAGTACAACACAGGATGGAATAGATGAAAATGCCAGTCTCCATTAGGTTTTGTTGTGTTTGAGGAGAAAGATAATTAAAAATATGTGTTATGCCAAATGGTGGTTAATGTCATAGAAGAAAAGGAAGCAAATAAAGGACAAAAACAAGACTGGATAGAGGAAAGAAGCAGTGGCACAATATTCAATAGATCATTTAGAGAAGGTTATAGAACAAGTCATGGGACATCTGGGGATGAGAATTTCAAACAAGGAAAAATTGAGAGGAGTGTACTCCATGAGTATAAGGAAGAGAAATGGGCCAAGTGTGGCTATGAGGTAAGAAGGATGGAGGGCTGGACCAGGATAGTTGTAAGAAGTAGGATCCCATATATATTCTCTCAGTGCAATATGACTTAGAAGTATGGAGAAAAGGACACGCTCTGTGACTAGACACACCAAGAAAAGAGCGAGGAAACCCCTAAGTACCAGTGAAAGCCACTATGAAGCAGATGAGCACAATCTATGTAAGCTCTGTTTCATCTATCTCTTTGCTATAGTCACAAATTCTTAGATGTTACATTTGAATTTCTTTAGTACAGTAGTGTCATATACAGGAACATTCCTCAAAGGATCAGATCATGTTGCCTAGTGTAAGAGCAGCAATAACCAAAACCAGATCTTGTATTAGTTTCCTGTCATTGTGACAAAATATCTGACAAGAAGTAGCTTAAGGATGGAGAACTCTATTTTGGCTCATGGTTCAAAGGGATATAGTACATCATGGCAGGGATTGTTCAGTGGCAGCAGTATGCAGCAGCAGCATGCTCACATCTCACCGGATCAGGAAGCAGAAAGAAATTAATGGTGACATTCATCAGGCATTTCCCTTTTCTGCCTTTTAGTCAGTCTAGGCCTTTGTTTGGCCCATAGCATCATGACACCCATATTCAAACTGGGTTTTCTCTCCTTAGTTAAGCTGTTCTAGAAATGTAGCCAGAGACACACCCAGATACACCAATCTTCTAGAGGATTCTAAGTCCAGTCAAACTGACAAGGAAAATTAACCATCCCTGCTCTTGTTCTTATCGCCTCCATTATTGACTATTAGAAGAAAGAAGGTAGAGGATGAAAATGAAGAAAAGCCCTTAATGATACCTCGATGTAATAAAAAAAGGTGTTTTGTAAATTTTCATATAACAATAGTATGTTTTAATGATACAATGTGATAATTTGATACATGTATACAGTATATAATGATCAAATCAAGATGATTAGAATTTCTAAGTTCTGTTCTATGAATTCTGTTTTCTGGTAACCTTGGAGCACCTGTCTTCTATGTCTATAAAACACACAACAGATTCTTATGAGCTACTCTGTACCTACTCTGTTATAGAACACTATAACTTATTCCTCTTATTTAAATAATTTTATTCCCGACCTGTTTCAATTTATTACCCCATCATCTCCTTAGCCTTTACTGACAATGGTTCTATTCTATGCGTCCACAAAATCAACCTTTTTAAGCTTCTATATGTAAATGGAGACAGGCTTTTCAAGATGTATGAGACAAAGATACATAGCTGTGTGATGGGAAACATTGAATCTAATCTTTACTTTCAGTGTATGAAACTAAGGGTCCATCAAGGAGAAGGACCATGCTTAGTATAAAACAATTTTGTAGCAAGGTAGGGTTAGAATATGAGCCACTTAGTATTCCCTACTACAGAGTTTCTTTTTCAATACGTGTGGCAACTGACTGTTTTGCCATTTTCTCTAGAGATTACAAATGAGAATCTATTCAATTTTACCATAAACTGACATTTAACACTTAATGATTATCACTGGAGGAAAACGACTAGAAAATAACATTTGCTACCTATGATGACAAAGAATCTATCATTCGCTATGTTTGTGTCACAAGTTAACCCTTCTCTGTTCACTTTAAATGTTTTATGTGTATGAATGTTTTGCTTACCTACATCTAGGTGTACTCCATATGTGCAAATCCCACAGAGACCAGAAGTTGGCATCAGATCTCATGGAACTGGAGTTACAAATGGTTATTAGCCACCCTGTGGGTTCTGGGACTTGAACCCCAGGTCTCTGCAAGAGCAATCAGTGCTCTTAACCACTGAGCCATATCCCCAGATGCTAGCTAGCCCTACCTTGATAAACTCTCTTGGCTTAGGAATCTCCATATCTTATACCTGCCTTGAGAATAATTCATTCTATAGAGAAGCAGGAAAATATCTTAGAAATCATAAACATAGCAGAAAAACCCTCATATGTTCTTAGAGCACATAAATATAGAGCAAGTTTGAGGATCTACCCTCCTTCTCATATGAGAACATACTGTAAGATATACTTTCGTTGGAAGAAGTGCCCAAACTTTCTCTCATGGCTTTGAGTCTGGGGAAGTGGATTTCAAATGTAATTGTTCACAGAGTTTTCCAGTAGTAACAGCGTTTTGGTATGTGTGACTTACTTCCCAAATCAAATGTGTGTGCTACCCAACAGAATGATGTTCATTTATGTAGTGAGCATGTACGGACTCAAAAACATAGATATCTTGGAAATGTAGAGAGGTTTCAGCAACAGAAGCTGATAAGGGGTTGGGGGAGGAGGAAGGGTTCCTTGATGATGTGCTGGTATGGTGAGGAGGTTCTTTCAAACATGCAGATTCCCAAGCTATCTCTGTCAAATTTCTTTTGTTTACAATTTATATATGTATGTATGTATTCGTCTGTTTTTCTTTTCAAGTGACTTGATCTGACTTTGTTTCTTAGGCTCCTCTCAAACCCCTATCTTCAACAACCTTCTCTTCTAAGCCTCTCAAGTAGCTGGAACTATAGAAATGTGCTACCACACAAGGTTTCCCATTTCTGTTACTCCCTTAAAATGTTCTACCCTGATAAAGTGGGTGCATTTGTGTGGGAAGTTTTTTTTAAATTGTGGCTGAAGCAGGACAGATATGCTAATGGAGGCCTAGACCTTGCTTCCATGTACTTCAAACTACTCACACATTCAGGACTGACTCTAGGCAAGTCTGTAGCAGGCTTTCTGAAACTTAGGCACTGGAAGAAAAATTATGTCCATGCTGTGTGTCAACTTATCATTGATGTTAAAGAACTCAGTGAAAATCTATATCCAAACACTGGAACTGTCCAAAGTAGGAACTTTGAAGACTCCACTTTATAAGCCAGCGTGTAGGCAAACAGTCACCAATTAACAGTTCATCACTGTAGCATACGCTAAAGAATCCTGAAAAGTTATTCAAAATATTACTTTTCTTTCTACCTTCTCCAATACTCCTCCTGTGGGTGGAGGGCTTCTATCAATTGCACTTGGCTTAGTGTGGCAAGTATATTTGGAATGAACTGTCACTGTGATTTCCAACAACAATGTCATGATAGACCAATATTGCACATCAAATGTTTTGTAAGTGCCAGTAGCCGTTCTGTGACCAGTAGAGAAATCATCATAGCTCTGAGTTGTTTCTTTCCCTGACATATTGCAACACTTGTCATAAATATTCAAAGTAAAATCTACATTTGTATGGAGCATTAATGACAGAGAAAGATTTACCCAATTCTCCCCTCATATCTTCAAACAAAAGCCTCTTCAGTTGTCAGAGCCAGTGAGAGGTGACGCATTAGAGGGCCACAATATAGACCTCAGGGTGTTAGTGAGATGATGCAGATCTGTGGTAGCAATAAGACCTCTCCACACTGGAGCTTGTGAAGAAAGCCATAATGTTGACTGGAGGTCTAGGATATAGTGTGAGAAGAACTAGTGAGATGTGGAGAGAATCTTTCAACTGTGGCTTCACACATGTTCATGGCACTAAACTCCAATTTGGCCAGTGGTATTGTGAGGAGAGCGCAGTGTGAGGAGGCATCCTTCAGATTGTATGCAGTCAGACCCTGCTGTCACTCTTCCTTATCAAACTAACTATACCTATCTCTTTCCATTCTCCAGAAACACTCCATCCCCAGTCTCTCTTAATAATGTCTCTCCAACCAACTCAATGGGGAATTGTAACAATGGACCTGTCACCATCCCCCAGCGCATTCACCACATGGCTGCTAGCCATGTCAATATCACCAGTAATGTGCTTCGGGGTTATGAACACTGGGATATGGCTGATAAACTGACAAGAGACAACAAAGGTATGCTTGTCTGTTGTATTCTTTGCTCACAGATCAGGCTGCAGTAACTTGTGCTTTGAAGGACTTGAATCCATGTACTTGATGATCTTATATTGTTCGATCCTTCTGATTTCCAGGTCTTAGACAAGAAGTTAGCTCAGGTCTGACACAGTGACCTATTTTTGCAATGAGAGTGATTAAAGGCCTAAATATTTACTCTTCTTTAAAGTTTAAACTAATCTAAACTGTGATGTATTGGCACACAGTGTTTTCAGAATTTCACTCAGTGACAAGGATCAACACAGAGAAATAGTTGCAAAGGCAAAAGGGGTGGTTTGAAAATTAATTAAGATCTTGTCGGCATCTGTTTATTTCTTGAGAGGTGAGGTGGAACTAAGGTCGTGTACTTTCATTATCCTCATCAACTTCAGTTGAATATATGAGAGCATGCTTTGCATTTTGAAGTGAAGAGTAAAGCTCAGCTAGGAATTTTCATGCACTGATGATTGGATCTGAATCCTATTTGTGGGAACACATAAGATTTGCTGTACAACAAATGCACAGAAGACCATGCTTCACCAGGGTCAAAAATCATTAGACTCAAAATCAAGCCTCACCGACCTAATGCCATTGGAAAGTAAAACCCAAACCACACATTTATTCTGGTGCTTCATTTTCCATAGAGCATTCTAACCCACTAATAACAGACTGGCCAACTGCAGATATGGTAGGAACACATGGAAATCTATTAGAATCAGACTAGAAATAGGTGACAAGCTGGAGTGATAGAAATCTGACCAGTAATAAGGAGACATTTAGCTTCCTTTACAATCTAAGTTACACAGGGTGGGCATGAGTCCTTCTGGGTCCCGAGCAAGTATATCCATTCAAAGATGAAGGGGACAATGTAATCCATGGATCTGACCAGAAAATTCCCCAAATCCTCCAAGCCCAGGTAGCTCTCCTTACCTTTTCTCTTAGGCTCCAGAGCTTCAGCTTCCTCCGCATCTCTTCTCTCTTAAAAGCTGCCATTCTAGGGGCTGGAGAGATGGCTCAGCAGCTAAGAACACTGATTACTCTTGCAGAAGACCCGGGTTTGAGTCCCAGCACCCACATGACAGCTAACAACTGTCTGTAACTCTAGTTCCAGGGGATTCAACAGTCTCTTCTGTCTTCCACAGGCATTGCACGACACAGGTGCACTTACCTTCATGCACACAATACATGCATACACATAAAATAAAAATAGTAAATTAAAAAAATTTTTTTTAAAAAGCTGCCACCCTAGGCACTTGAGCACTGCCTGATTATAGAATGAGGTGCCCTCTTCCTCGTGCCTCCTCCATGCTGCCCATTACTACTGTCTTGATAATCATGTGGGTAAACAGTGTCATCAAAGTAAGAAAGATGTAGATTCTGTACTAGTTTAAGTATGAATGTGGCCTGGCTGATGTGTTCCTTGGGCAAACTTTGCAAGTTACTTAAATCTGGGAAGTCCTTCCTGACTTCTGTCTCTGTAAAGGTGGTGGAGGAACTGCTCAGAAAGTTAATAGAGATTAATGAACTATGTAAATAACCTAGCATAAGACATTACATACAATATAGATACCCTTAAAAATGTTTTCATTCATGACTCTATAGTGTTTTAGATCTTTATAACTCAGATTCTTGTCATGCAAACATGAAGACATGAGCTCAGATCCCTAACACTCATGTAAAGAGCATGGTGGGGCAAACCTGTAATCTTAGTGCTGGGAAGAAAGAGACAGGAGGATCTCTGGAGCTTGTTGGTCAGCTAGTTTTGCTGAATCCATGAGCTCCAGGTTCAGTGGGAGACACTATCTCCAAAGAATAGATGGAGAAGTATCTAAGGAGTTGGCTCAGTGTGTCAGACACTTGTGATGCGAGCCTGACAACCTGAGTTTGAATCCCCAGAACCCACATGAAAGCCAGATGCAGTTGCACAAGCATCTGTGATATCAGAGCACCCTTAATGGGTGATACAAGACTGAGGCAGGAGACTCGCTGGAAATGCATGGACCAGAAGCAGTAAACAAAAGATGGAGATGAAGACTGACATCTGTGGTTACCTTCTAACTCATGCGTGCATACAGGCACAAGTACACTGACACTAACACACCACACACACACTATACATATACACAAAAATTAAAATTAAACCATGTGTGGTAGCACATGCCTTTAATCCCAGCACTTGAGAGGCAGGGGCACGTGGATCTCTATGAGTTTTAGGCCAGTCTGATCTATAATAGCAAGTTTCAGGCCAGTTGTAGCTACATAATGAGACAGTGGCTCAAAAATACATCTAGCTAGAAAGTGGCAGAGGAAAATACTTGACATCGGTCTCTGGGCTCTACACATAAACACACACAAACACATGTGTACCGCCTCACGCCTGAGCACATGTAGGGACACATATACAGACAGAACACACACACACACACACACACACACACACACGCACACACAATTCTACAGCTAACAAAACACAATTTTAGACCCTAAGTCTGAACTGAGCTTTCAACTTCTAGTGATTCCTGAGAATTAAACATGCAGGTGGTTCCCCAGTGATTTCTACAGCCCAGGTACTATCCTACTTGCCCTTTTATTGGTTGTCTCATTTATTCTTACTTTATAGATGAAGACACTGAGGATTTTCAGGTTAAAAATTTCACCCTTATCAGAGTTCTTTAAGTTTGTTAGAAGCAGAAACTATCTGACGCCAGAGTCTTAACTCAAACCAATAGGCTACACTGCCTATTGTAGAAAACATGCTCTTTGCAGGTCTTTAGAGACCTTTGGTGAGAAGCTCCAATTCACTTATCTGTACAAAGGGCAATTCTTAGAGTGTTTGCTTTTCTCGACTTTTGGAAACCCAGATAAACCTGGCCCAGACGACTGGGGCCCCACAGGGCTCTAGAACTGCAAGCAAACACAAAGGCATCATGATATTTTTCTGGTTTGTCTGGTTCTAATCTATCATCTAATTTTGTATTGGTAACTGCAAGGAAGTTCAATATTTATGGATTCCCTTTATAATTGCATTCATTTTCAAAATCTGTTCAAGTAATTTCTTCTAAATTAACTGCAGAATTTTCCAAGAGCAACGTGATGACTGTGGTGATGCTAGGGTGAAATAGTGCTCATCTTGTCATTAGCACAGCTTGTCAAGGAGTTGCTAAATTCTTTGCCTAATATTGAATCAAAACATCGCTGTCACTGCACCAACAGAGAGAACATGTCTTGCTAATGTTTTATTAGGTTTTTCAGTGGACTTTGGAGAAAATCTAGTTTGGGATTTTCAGCTCACTGCCTTTAGCTCTGCATACATGTAATTTCTGACCTATTTAGATTTGAGGATTCTTCTAACATCTGTCGTGTGAAGATAGAAATTATATAACTCAGGGTTATTCTTTGGACACGAGGTCTGCATCTCACTTACAGAAGTGTGTACTTACACTTTCTCCAAGACAGTTGTTTCATGGAGATGGGTGGTGATATCTCTCTCAGCAGAAAATCTCCATCCCTGCCCCTGCCCACCCACCCATACAGCTGGAGATACCTTACTACAGAAGATTCTGGTGTTGAAAAAGGCCAATGGGTGAATGCTGCCCCCTAACCTTTGGTCAGGTCGCACCATTCCCTACCTACCTCAGTTGTACACATTACTCCCTTGAAGTGTTCATTAGAATGGTGACCTAGGTATCCAATTAAGAATGCCGTAGGGAGCCTTGAACAGAATGCCCAGGGGACATCCTGGCTCACAGGAGTCTCACATTCATTGAACAATGGCTGTGTCTTTAATGTTTTCCTTAGTATCACATTACCTAAGAAAATATTTTAATGCCAAAAGTAATTTACTCCTTTGTCAGCGGAGATTACTTTTATTGCATAGCACAAGTTAAAAAGTATCACATAATCAAATGAAGTTGATACTTAGAGAAGTCCATATGTTATACATAACATGAAGAATAAATGCATTGTCGAGTGAAACACCATCTGCTGAACAATCAAGCACGTGTAACCCGTGCATGGAAACTGCTTTCCAAGGAGGTAAAAGAGCATCCCAGCCACTTTAAGACACTCTCCAGTCCCACCTCCGGCCTGAACTTGGCTTCCTTACCCTCACTCAGCACAAACATTTGGCTGAGGCAGCCTTCCCTGTGGGAAGCTAACAAGAAAAGACGCCAGTGAGCCCTCTTGGGATCTGCAGTCAGAAAAGCCATGTGAGACGAAAAGGAATCTAAGGAATTTTTAGATACCACATAGTCTTTCCTACACACACCCCTCCCCTAAGGCAAAGTGTCTAATGCTCTAGTCACAATGGTGAGTTTTCAGTAGGGTAGCCTCAAGGCTGCTTCCTTTCCCAGGTGAACTAGAAAGAATTAGCTGAGCATTCTTATTAGTCATTTCCAGGGGTGGGGGTGGGAGAAGTTGACATCTGCCAGATACTCACAGGCCATTTTCCACCACTAAAGTAATCAATAAAACTTCCTAATTCAGATTCCTCCAAGACATTTATTCAACCGTGGAAGGTGATGGGTACAACAGATTAACTGGCTTTTTCTATACTAAGAAAATGAGATCAGTTCATCTGAACCAAAGAAAACTATATTTTCAATTTAGTAGTAGATAAAACAAAAAACATGAACATCACAATATCAGAGAAAAGCTATGATATTTATAAGAAGCTCATTAGTATATAAGGGAGCTTTCATAAAAATTAAGTTATAATATAAAATATGAATGCATTATATTGTACAAAATATATTCAAATATACTTATAAGTGTAATTTGTGTGTATTTTAAAACATGTGAATATTATAACATTTATAGCAATATGTAGCCAAATATATACACTTATATATTGATAATATTTTTGCTTATATAAAAAATATCCATAGCATGGTACTATACTTTTAGAATATGCTGTCTGAGAAAGTATAGTGATACACAAAACCTGGCATAAATTAAACAGCAGATTTAAGTGAGCTCTGTTTCACTAATCACAGTAATACAAACATTGTGGTGCCAGATTTTTGGAGCTTAATAAAACATAATTGAGGTTGCTATACACATGGAATTTGGGATTCCTAATAAGCCTTTTAAATGTTGGTTGAGTGAAAAGATGAATGGATGAATGGATGGATGGGAGGATGGATGGATGGATGGATGGATGGATGGATGGATGGGTGGATGGATAGACAAATGAATAAATCTTCCAATGTCCATACGATTGTGGTTTTAAGTGCACCTTTTCATTCTGTTGTATATTTACTGGATAGTAAATAAAAGCTTGACCTAATATTGTTCTGATTTTCAGAATTCTTTGGCGATCTGGATACATTGATGGGGCCTCTGACCCAGCACAGCAGCATGACCAATCTTGTCCGCTACGTTCGTCAGGGACTGTGTTGGCTGCGCATTGACGCCCATTTGTTGTAGTGGGCGCTCTTCCATCTCTAGTGCCACTGTCCAACCCCTCTTCCTTTACCAGTGGTTACTGGTGGAAGTCCACTCATTTGGGAAAGTTCTCTTTTGTTATGTTTATTATTATGCCTTTTCCCCCTGATATCTGTGAAAAACCGAAGTCATTGTAAGTGGACACTACAACTTGAGAGAAGTGTTTTATTTTTTAATATTTGATATACATTTCTCGGATTTCATTATTTTTGTGCTTTACGGAATGATAGTCCCTACAATATTTGTTTAAGTCCACACTATCCAAAACAAAGAAAGAGAAGCACATGTGATAATGACAGGTTCCTGAGGAATCAAACAAGTGGTCTAACTTACACATGAACAAGGGACCTGCAAAGACTTTCAACAGTAGTGATCCCCCAAACTATACACTATTGTCTGGAAAAGAATGTATTTCAGAATCCGTAGTTAAATGATTTCTGTGGTTCCCACAGACTAAATCTTCAGGTGAGAATTTCCATTGTCTAAACCCACTGATTAGATGTAACTACATTGTAAAGTCAAGAGTAACAGGGAAACAAATGAGCTTAGCAATTCTACTCTTGAAATGACAGGACCAGAGGACTGTTTTTTTATTTTGTTTTGTTTTGTTTTGCTTTGCTTTGCTTTGCTTTGCTTTGTTTTGTTTTGTTTTTTCATCCTGTTCCAGATTACTTTCTTTTCAGATTTTAATGATGAGGAGGAATAACATTTATTTTGATAACTTTATTCCACCAGCTGGCATAAACAATTCTGAACTCCGTGACTTAAAGCTTAACTCCTCACCAGGGATTCTCCTTGTGCAAAGCTCTCCTTTGGAGGAGCAGTTTGGTGGATGCACAACTTAATAGTCAAAATATGGAACTCATCCTACAGGTGAGAGATGAGGCAGGTCTGAAAAATGTCCCTCAAGGAATTCACACTTCTTACAGCCAGTAGGCAGATCCATAACTGCCAGTGTTTTAAAATTGTATTTCGATAGATTTACATATGAAATCTGTGGAAACAAACTCAAGTTATCACTACCTAGAAGTAATAGTATACAATTTATTTCCTAGTGTCTTCACTATCTGGACTTCCAAAACATTGTCCACATTTTCTATTTGCTAGAATTTCTTATTTTTTTTCTTTCAGTTACCCTTTGCCTTTTTTAAAAATTTTGCTGTTGGCTAAAATACAATCACTGAATTCATTGAGGTTTATACTAGTATAAAGAAGTTCCATGAAAGTTCCAAAGAAAATTCCAAACTCTGTAAGTAGTAGTTAACTTTTCATTCTTAAAAACGTGGATCTTAGGATCATGTTTCACCCTGGGATCCTTACAAAGATTCCTGCAGATTGGAAATATTTCACCTAATTTGGAGTATTTACTTATCAGTTATGACTATCTCTCCTCCTTATGATCTTCTACATCATCTTCTGTCCCTAAGCATCACCATGTAAATATCATCTGTAGCGTTCCAGCTCACCAGAAAAAGTCTCCACTTAACAGTAAACACTATCCACGCATTAGTTACTTGTAATTACCTGCTGACATATAATTCCACATAACCTTTAATCTGGTGAGCTATTGAATTCTGTTCACTTAGTCATGGCCAGATAAATAACATATATGCACATGAAAGATGCAAACTTGTATGATTTCTGAAGCAAGTCATGCAGGTCTGTGGTAAGAACAGCAGGCAGTCACTCTGCACTCTCATTGTCAAGGTTAGGTATTTCCCTGGTTGCAGAAGAGCCAGGTTTGAGTTCTGTTCTGATCACATGTGGTTTTAAGGCCTTTTGTTGCATAATAAGGTTATGGAAGCTGTACTCCAATGGCTGAAGCCGTGCTGTTAATATGGCTGATGGGTGAACCCCAGCAGCTGAACCCTGCACTTTTTATGCTCCCAGTGTGGTTGAGCTTTATGTTTACACTTTCAGCAACAACACTTTCAAATACACACAGACAGACAGACAGACAGACAGACACACACACACACACACACACACACACACACACACCAATGAAACCTGAATCTTCTCTGTGCCTCTACTATGAGGATAATTAAATCATCAAAGACAACACCCACAGCGGGTGTCACATGTAACAATTGTGCTGAGAACATTGCAATGACTCAACTTCTCTGTTTTCCTTGGCCTACCAAAGTAGTGTGCCTGACTACTTCTTTATAAAGATGCCTACCAACTTGATGCAAAACTTAATACTACACCATGATCTTAGACCATCATAGATTTAGGCACAGATTCTTTTTGAAATTAAGTATCCAGAAACTAGAAGTTAGAAAGCTAGGGGCAGGTTTCCGCAGAAACAAGCATATTGCCTCATAGGTGAAAGACTTGTAGCTCAAGTTTCAGTGACTTGTTATATCTTTCTATATACAACAGAGAGACAAGAGAATGCTCTGTCATCTCTGGTGGCTGAATGTAATGTGTGTGCCATGTCAGCAGCACAATTATCAAATGTGACAGTCAAGCTCTGGATCACCACCCGATTATTTAGTAGACCCAATTTTAACATAGCTTAGACACAAATTGAACATGGAGGATGAATTGCCTTCCTATCCCTGGAGACAAGATGCCTTTGGTTTCCCGATGAAGATTTGTGACTGTTTTCTAGGCCCTCTATTCATCACATCGTAAATGGTGATGTGCATCATGGGTGTGCAGCTATTCGCAGGATTGAAGATTAAGCATTTTGTAAAGGGAATCTCTTCAGTGTTCCAGTCAAATGGGAGGGATATGAGACATGTGGATGGCAGCAAGAGATTGAGCCTCTACATCTTGATGGAGGCTTGGTGAGCCACATCTAAACAAGCCTGTGGAGGTAGAGTGATGGGTAGAAGAATAGGAAGCTCCCCGGAGCAAGTATGAAAAACAGCCCTACAACATGATCCAGGAAGGGCCACCACTACACCTTCATTTATCACACAAGCTCCAACCACAGAGAGTCTGACAAGTTTGTCTTACGATGTTGGCTTGGCTTTGTATCTTTAATTAGCTTTGGATTTTTTAGTGGTTTTGTCATATTATTGTCTGAGTTTTGTAGGTAGGATTAATTTGAGAAGAGTTTGCTAGTGTGGTCCTTGGGGTAGAATTTACCTATAAGCATGTTGTTAGCCAGCCTATAGACTGTTAATTACTTAATCTCATTGGGAAAAACTAGTAGTTTTATATTCGGGTGACATAATTGGATAAAGCAGATTAGCTTCTGTGATTTTTCAAAGACTTGAGGTTGAGATGCCTTTTTCTTCCATGTAACGAAATTAAAAGCTCCAAATCTTCAGTCAAAAGTGGCAAAATTAGAAACCATTGCCTAAAATGTGTTTTATTGAGTTTCCAAATGGATGGATCGTTACATGCATTGGATTTGATCCACATTGGAAAGATGCTAGTTCTATCTACCTTTCCTGAAGTTATCCAAATCAGATTTTGTTTTCTTCAAATTTGCATCCTGGACGTTGAAGTTAGTTTGAAGTTGGAAAGCATTTTCGAAGGCAGACTCGATTACGTTGTGAGGGTGAAGCCCTTACTTCCTTCTCAACAGACATGATAAAATTCACCTGCATGAACCAGCAGGTGGGACAACCAAACTGGATCACTGGGTAGGACTACTCAGTAAAGCAATGAACTGCTTGCTTAGAGAAACATCACTATCCCCATTGAGAAAAATGTGTGGCAAGATAAAATAGCTACACAGTATCAAGCAAATGGGTTTATTTCGTGCCCTAAATTCAATTCTATGGGGAAAAAATATTGAGCCAGTTGTAGTGTTGTTGCAACTGGCAGACTCAATTCTTCGTCGTCGTTGTTCTTGTTGTTGCTGTTGTTGTTTCGCATTTCCACTCGCATAGCCTTATTCTCATAAACTCTGATTCATTTTCTCTTTGGTGTTAGCAAACTCCAATGACAGAAATGGCATCTGTGTATTGATAATCAGCATTTACCCTGGCAGGAGACTAATCAGATAGGCTGGTCTCACACATTAATCCTACCATCTGATATTTCCAGCAAAAGAGAAAAACTCTTAGTTCCCTTTCCATTCCCCTCCTCACAAATCTAGAAGCCCTCTTTACCAAAAGCATCACATTGTTCTCTGTAATCTTTTGACAAAAAGAAAATTGCATTGTGGGG